AGGTCTGCATCGCCTACCATATAAGGCCTCGTACGGTGCCATCTGAATGTTGTACTGATAGCTGTTGTTGTAGGCAAACTCCGCTAATGGCAAGAAATGATCCCAAGAACCTCCGAACTCAATCACACACACATGGAGCATATCCTCAAGGATCTGAATAGTGCGCTCGGACTGCCCGTCCGTCTGAGGGTGAAATGCTGTGCTCAACTCCACCCGAGTACCCAACTCCTGCTGTACGGCTCTCCAGAACCGCAATGTGAACTGAGTACCTCTATCTGAAATAATGGATACTGGAATACCATGCAGACGGACAATCTCCCGGATATAAATCTCCGCCAACCGCTCCGAGGAATAGGTAGTACACATAGGGATGAAATGCGCGGACTTGGTCAGCCGATCCACAATAACCCAAATGGCATCGAACATCTTCAAAGTCCGTGGGAGTCCAGACATGAAGTCCATGGTGATTCGCTCCCACTTCCACTCCGGAATCTCTATCTGCTGAAGCAATCCACCCGGTCTCTGGTGCTCATACTTTACTTGCTGACAATTAAGGCACCAAGCTACAAACCCAACTATATCCTTCTTCATCCGCCTCCACCAGTAGTGCTGCCTCAAATCCTGATACATCTTCGCGACACCCGGATTAATGGAATACCGCGAACTGTGGGCCTCCTCTAAAATCAACTCCCGAAGCCCATCGACATTGGGTACACAAACTTGACCCTGCATCCTCAATACTCTGTCATCACCAATGGTCACATCTCGAGCATCGCCATGTAACACCTTGTCCTTGAGGACAAGCAAATGAGGGTCATCATACTACCGCTCCCTGATATGATCAACAAAGGAAGACCGAGAGACCACACAAGCTAGGACCCGGCTGGGCTCCGAAAGGTCCAATCTCACAAACTGGCTGGCTAGGGCCTGAACATCCCTCGCCATAGGCCTCTCAGCTGTTGGTAAATAAGCCAAACTCCCCAAACTCTCTGCCCGGCGGCTCAAAGCATCAGCCACCACATTGGCCTTGCCTGGGTGATACAAGATAGTGATGTCATAGTCCTTCAGCAACTCTAGCCATCTCCTCTGACGCAAATTAAGGTCCTTCTGCTTGAACAGATGCTGCAAACACTGGTGATCAGTATATATCTCACAAGGCACCCCGTACAAGTAATGACGCCAAATCTTCAAGACAAGAACAATGGCAGCTAACTCAAGATCATGGACATGATAATTCTTCTCGTGTATCTTCAACTGTCTGGACGCGTAGGCAATCACCCTACCGTCCTGCATCAATACCGCTCCAAGGCCAACTCTCGAGGCATCACAATAGACAGTACAAGACCCCGAACCGGTAGGCAATATCAAAACTGGGGCTGTAGTCAGGGTTATCTTGAGCTTCTGAAAGCTCGCCTCACACTCCTCTGTCCACTGAAATGGAGCACCCTTCTGGATCAATCTAGTCATAGGGGCTGCAACTCTGTAGCTGAGGATGGTCTGGGCCAACTCTGCACTGCCTCTACCTTCTTCGGATCCACCCGAATGCCCTCACTCGACACCACGTGACCCAAGAATGCCACGGAATCCAACCAAAACTCACATTTTGAAAACTTTGCATATAATCTCTTTTCCCTCAGAGTCTGAAGCACTGTCCTCAGGTGCTGCTCGTGATCTTCCCGCTCCGGGAATATACAAGAATATCATCAATAAAGACAATGACAAAAGAGTCAAGATATGGCCAGAATACACTGTGCATCAGATGCATGAAGGCTGCTGGGGCATTGGTCAGCACAAAAGACATAACAAGGAACTCGTAATGACCATACCGAGTCCTGAAGGCAGTCTTCGGGATATCTGGCTCCCGAATCTTCAACTGATGGTACCCTGAGCGCAAATCAATCTTAGAAAACACCCGTGCGCCCTGAAGCTGGTCAAACAGATCATCATTACGAGGCAAAGGATAGCGGTTCTTCACTGTCACCTTATTCAACTGGCGGTAATCAATACACATGCGCATAAAACCATCCTTCTTCTTCACAAATAACACAGGAGCACCCCAAGGCGATACACTGGGCCGAATAAAACCCTTATCAAGTAATTCCTGCAATT